CTCTACAGTAGCATCTGTAGTAGCTCCTGTGAGGTCCCCCCTGTTTCGGGCAGGCCCTAGTGGGTAGGTCTCACACCTTTGCTTCTAGACCTTGTGTGAGTCAAGGCTTCTCATGCCATCCCTGCTACAACTCCATGGTCCCAGGCAGTATTGCCATCAAACAGTAGCTATTTAAGAGACCACAGCACGTATGAACCAGACACATGGCCAATTGTTGCAATGGGAAAAAACAGATCTGATTTCGAATCTCATGCAACCTTGAGCAAGTCACTTAACCAGAGTCTTGGTTTCCTCTTTTGTGAAATAGGGACACTAACAGCAACCTCTTGGAGTGTTACCATGGTGGAACAGATTAGCACCGTGCCCAGTACATGGTCAATGCCAGGAGCAGAACTTTTCAAAGACTTCTCGCTGAACCCTCCCAGCCCCACATGAGGGAGGACAGACCCTGTTGTCCCCATTTTCAAGAGAAAACTAGTCCAAGTTCACAGCATTGAAGGACTTGAGCAGACCTAGCATTCCAGTCTCTGACACCTTGGCCTGCATCTGTTGGATGCGCAAGGCGTCTTCTAATGTTGATGATCTTTATGGGTGAAGCAACATAAACCAACTCGAAAATACTCAAACAAGAGCCACTGACATTCAACAGTGGTGGATTTGGCATGGAGTTGGTATCCCCTGTAAGTGGTACCACAACTGCTGGGCATCACGAGAGGGCAAGAGAACAGGGGTCCCAGGAGTCCTGGTGCCCTGTCCTCTTCCATTGCCCTCCCCATGACGTGTGCAGGTCAGAGGTGGACATGGAACCCCAGAGGTTCCCCCCCACCCCATCAGAACTGAAGGAAAACCTAGAGCTGAAGACACTGTCGAGAGCTCTTCCTGACTTGCTCTCCGAGAAAGCAGGCTCAGGAGGGGGCCTGATCCAATGGATGCTGAAGAGAAACAGACACAAGGCCTGGGTGCATCGACCAAAACTGACAGATCCCCCCGCAGAGCACCACCACTCACCACGGAGTCACAGACCAAGGCCACCAGAACGCAGAAAGTTCCCAAGAAGGTAGGAGCCTGGCATTCCACAAGCATCACTACAGTGTTGGAGAACCAGAAGGCAGGCCCTGCTGGTCCTTTCCAGAGGCCTGGCACATCAGCTGCTCCTCCCACAGTGCAAGGGAAGAAACCCAGCAAGCATCCTGCCTGGAACTTAGCGAGTCAAAGATATGAACCTAAAGGCAGCAAGTGAGGGGACTCAGCATGGAGCCAGGAGAACTGACAACTGCAGGGTCAGCTAAGGCAGGCCCAGCCACAGGCCAAGGCTCGAGGGTCAGAGCACAGGACACTGGAAGAGGAGTTGGCCAGGGTTCAGGCCAAGACCAAGCAAGGCCAACAGGAGCTGGGGAGCCTTAGTACCCTTGTCCCAGAGCTGGAAGAATGACTGAGCACACGGGAAGGTTTGATGCAAGAACTTCAGAAAAAACAGCTGGAGCTGCAGGGGGAGTGGAGGGGACTGGCCACACCCTTGGAGGAGCAGGAGGGGAGGTGAGAGGCATCCGAGGCCACTCTGCCAAGCAGTCAACGAGAGGTGGCATCTCGGTGGCAGGGGCCTGCAGCCCAGGTGGCTTTATTAGCTAAGCCAGGAGATGGTCTTCATGGGCTACAAATTGAGCACCAGCAGCTGCACAGGTACTCTGCTAGGTCTGCCCTGTCCTTCCACCAGAACTCATCCCACTCCCTGGCTTCCACTTGTTTCCCTCTGGCCCTGGTGGGTCCTCTGATCCTCCTGAGCCTCTCCCACTCTGATGATTGATTGGGTAAGCCCCTAAGTGGGGCACCAGCTCCTACCACCTGCTATGGCTTCTCCTTTGACTGGGTATTCCTACCAGCAAGAGGGCAGGTTGAAGCCCTGGATGGCTACCCAGGATGCATCTTTGCTTGTGGCCAGACAGGCAGCATCAAGATCTTCACAATGGAAGGTAGGCTTGGTAGAGCCCCAGTTGGAGAGGCCAATTCCTCAGCCCCTGGGGAACTACTTCTCTGTGGCCCAGGAGCTCAGTGGCCAGGGCTGGACCTCTAGCCTTGGAGGCAAGCTATGTAGAGATCAACAATGAGACAGTCTGAGGCTCGCTGGCCACTGGGACCCAGAAGGGCCAAGCAGGAAAGTGTGAGATTAGCTGGGCAGGACTGGGGAGTGAGGAGTTTACTGTCACTGGTGCTTGGTATGTCTCTGTAAACCCATTAGACTAAGGTGGAGGTCCTGCTCCCCATTGTCCACCAGAACTGGGGCTGTGCCCCACACATTACAGAATGAGCAGTCATCATGCAGCCACAGTGAGTTCCAGCTGCAGATCTCCGGGGAGGAGCACACTGGCTGAGGCCTGCAGCATGGGCCCCCCTCAGCCTTGTGGGTCTGGCTGGGAAGTGAACAACTAAATCCCAGTTGAGCCTTTGGCCCTGAGGAGCAAGCCATTAACAGCAGCTTGTCCACACAGAGGCCGTCCATCATGGCCCTAAGTGACAAGGAGTCACCTGTGCATTATCAGAGCAGCATGCTTCTGTGGCTATTGCAGAATGCTCTGGGTGGCAGCACTACGAAGCTCATATTTGTAAGCATTTCCCCTCTAGAAGAAAACTCTCTGCCTTTTGCTTCCAAAGTGAGCCAGTGTGTTATTGGTACCGCCCAGGCCATAAGCAATAAAGAGGGATCCAGTTCCTTTGCATCACAGCGTGTGTGGGTGCCTGTGGGAGCATGTTAAGGAGATGAGGCTCTAAGAGAGGCTTTACTGGGTGGAGGGAGCCATTACTAAGCTTATCATATAAAGAATAGCTGGAGTTTTTTCTTTAAAAAATAAAATATAGGAGCCGGCACTGTGGCATAGTGGGTAAAGTTGCTTCCTAAGATGCTGGCATCCCATACGGGTGTTGTTTCTTGCCCCAGTTTTGCTCCACTTCTGATGCAGCTCCCTACTAATGCACCTCAGAAAGCAGTGGAGGATGGCCCAAGTGCTTGGGCCCCTGCACCCACGTGGGAAACCCAAAGGAAGCTCCTGACTTCTGGCTGCAGCCTGGCCCAGCACTGGTTGTTGTGGCCATCTGTGGAGTGAATCAGTGAATGGAAGATATTTCTCTGTGTGTGTGTGTGTGTCCCTCTCTATAACTCTGACTTTCCAAATAAATAAAATATTTTTTAAAAAAATAATAAAAATGTTAAATTAAAATAAAATATTCAAACAAAAAACCAGTGGGAAAAGGAATAGTTTGATAGATGGTTGGTAACTGTTGGTGCTCATGGCAGGTGTATGGGTTCCTTATGTAGCCTGCTCTACCTTTGGGTGCATTTTAAACTTTCCATCAAAAATAATAACATGCCTTTGAATCATGTTTAATGACTGATGAAAATGCTCATGATAAAATAATAAGAAAAGCAAGATTCAGAAATGTGTAACTCCCAATTGTGTGTGTATGTGTGTCTACCCACATGCTTCTGAAAAGATCCAGGATGTATCATGTTATCAATTCAATGATAATTTCTGGAGACAGACTGATTATATTTGTTTACTTCATTTAGTTGTCTGTATTTTCCAAGGTTCCTAAAATGAACATGTATCAATTTTATAGTCAGAACACCAGCCAACATTCAAGTGTTTAAAGCTTAATTTTGCTAAGCTAGCAGTTGGAGCAGGAGAAGTGGGGGGCATGGAGTGGAGAATGGTATGGCTGGAGTCCCTGGCTGAGCCTGATCAGGAAGGCTGGGTAAGGGGAGAAGGTTGGATGTGCCTCTTCCCTCGGACAGGAGGCGGCAGCAGCCAGGCAGCTACCCTTGAGCTCTGAGACCTCTCCAGTACATTTCTGGCTGGCAAGTGCCAGTCCCAGGGGGCCCAGCCACCACATGCTGCCCAGCCTGGCCCTGCCTGGCTGCTTTGGCGCTGCCTCAAAGGCTGGGTGCCAGGGGAGGTGAGCCAGGTGTCAGAGCCACAGCCTGTGTCTGGAGAGGGTGGCAGAGAAGCACGTCGCCCCACTTCTCAGGGCTGGGATCTGGTTTCCTCATGTGACCACACAGCAGAGGGTGCCAGGATGGGGGAACGTGCAGGCAGTGCAGACCAAGCCTGGCCAGTGTCTCTCAAGACCTATCATGTGCTAAAGACCTATCATGTGCCTGGCACATCTTACCTCTTGGAGAGGCAGGGATGGCTATGCCTATTTCACAGGCGAGTGAGTGGAGGCAAAGAGTTCCACTCTCCTGATTAAAATCCTCTGCACTTCCTCCCTGCGATCAGGGTGGGTCACCCCCTACAACTTACTTCTGCCTCTCTGTAATATCCCCCTGTACTCACTTTTCTCCCACCCTGTGCTTAGGGTCTCCCCTCATTCTGCCTTCATCATGTCTCAGTGGCAATATCACCTCCTCCAGGAATCTTCCCTTGATAGGCTCAGGTTAATGGGGTCAACTCGCATACAAACACTGCTACAGTCCACACAGCTCTTATTGTGCTGTGTCGGGAGTATACTTTCATGTGCTTTCCCCCTCCTGACCCTGGCAATGAAGTCCCTGAGGACAGAATCACTCCCAGGGTCTTGGTTTAGTGCCCAGGGTACTTGTTCCCTAAACTGGCATCCTGAGCAGGATAGAACTTGCACAACTGTGCTTAGCAACCCTACCCATCTCACTTACCTCTTGGACTGACAGAGTAGTGTGTAGAATGAGTAAACAACCAGTGGGTGAGTGAGTAAGAAGCGGTCTCCCTGGCTTGAGAGACTTCAGATCTCGCACATTTTGTGTCAGCCTCTGAGCTGAGGCTGGCCCAGAGGCTTGAGCTCTGCCCAAGAAGAGCCAACAGTAAGGGCAGGACTCTGGGATCTCCAGGGGATGAGCACCAGGTGGGAGTGATGTGCTGCTGGAAGAAGAGCTGGATGGGCCAGCTAAGGCTGATCCCCACATGGCCGTGAGCCTGGAGTGGATCCTGGAAGCCCAGACCCAGATGCTGAGTAAAGAGCAGGTTGATTACCTGAGACAGTGTCCTGGATGCACCTTGGGAGTCCTTAGTCAGGAGTGGCCTGTGACTGAGAGTGGGCCCACCTCTCTGCAAAAGCTTCCTCCTTGAAAAAGACAAAGTGATGTCAAGATTTCACAAGTCTGCTGATTTCTGGGTGCTGATTCCTGGATGGTGGGCACAGCTCCTACTCATGGCCTACAGTGGGGTATGAGAGGTCACTGTCCCCTCCTTGCATCCAGGGTGGCTCCCAACTTGGGGAGGACGGTGCTAATTATCCCACAGAGGGTGCAGGGATAGAAGGAAACAGAGAAGGAGGCAAGGGTGCTGAGGGTGGTCTCAGAATGGCGCCTAGACATTACCTTTCACAAGCTGGGTTCACCCTAAGGCTGTTCTAAGAATCAGAGTTGTAATCCAAGAGAGAGATGGGCTCTGTGACCACACAGAACCAGGATAAAATTCCAGCTCTACCACTTCACAGCTGTGTGACACTTGTGAGCTATATAGCTCCCGCTGAGTCCCAGGTTCTGTAAAACAGAAGTGGTGACTAAACCCACTGATGCGTGCCACAGCAGGATGAGCTTCAGAGTGATCAGGTCAAATGAAAAAAGCCAAGCGAAAGGTGCACCTACTGTGTGATTCCATCAGCATGCAGCCCCTGAAAGCGCAGAGCAATCCAGGAGAGGAGAGCAGATTGGTAGTTTCCAGGGAACTGGGTTGGAGGAAGAGGAAGCAGATGGAAGAGAACACAAAGGGCCATGAGGAAGCTTCTGGAAGTGAGGGACATGGTGGTGGTTGCAAGAGAGGACCCGTAGTTAAAAATTTAATCATACACCTTAATTACATGCAGTGTATTGCATGTCAACAATACTCCCAATAAAGTATCTTTTTAAAAAATGGGGCAAGTGTTTGGCCCAGTGGTTAAGATGCTACTTGGGAAACCTGCATCCCATAGCAGAGTGCCTGGTTCAAGTCCCAGCTTCTTTACTTCTGATCTAGCTTGCTGCTAATGCACACCCTTGGAAGGCAGCAGTGATGATTCAAATGCCTGAGTCCCTGCCTCACATGGGAGACCTGAATTGAGTTCCAGGCTCCTGGCTTCAGCCTGGTCCAGCTCTGGTTGTTGTGAGCAACTGCGGAGTCAGTGGATGGATGGGATCTCTCTCTCTCTCTCTCTCTCTCTCCCCCCCCACTCCTCTCTCTCTCTCTCCCAGCCCCACACCCACCCATTTGTTGAATCTCACCACCTTCCTCCTGGAGAGCACATGGCAAGCATGAAACACTCACACAGAGTGCCTTTCTGGAGTTAGGATCTTACATGTGCCACGATAGTTGCCTTCTCATCTTCCCATCATCAAACCAGCTATCCCTTGCTCCATATTTCAGAAGCACATCTCCTGAGTTCCAGCAGGATGCCAGACAGGCGCTGGATCCTGAGACCAGCAGAGAGAAGACCTGCTCTCCAGGAGCTGTCAGGTCAACAGACCCGACCTCCAAACCAGGACAGCACAGCAGGGGTCAGCCTGTCTGACGGGGAGCCCAGGACGGCCCCTACCCTGGTCAAGGGGTGCAGACTCCAATGCCTCTGTCGGGATCTGCACCCATCTGGTGAGCCCTGCTGGCTAGCAGGAAGCGAAGCGTGTTTCAGAGCACAGAGCACATGGGCTAAACTCCCTGACTGTGCAGATGCTGAGCCTGGTGCACCTTGAGCTTTCAGCCTTGAATGCATGTGTAAGATAATACCATTGTCAGATTCAGAAATTTTTCTGGGCTTCATTTTAATTGTGATTCATTTTTAGTGGGAAAGTGAAGCTAAAACCTGTCTATTTTTACTTAAAAATTTGTGAAATGCCAACCCAGTTTTTCCATAACACACACTTTCCGTGAACTTATTTAAGGACCCGCTCGTAGCAAAAAGTTCAAAGCAAAAATTTCCAGCAATATATATTTGTTGAAAACACTTAGACTGAGTTTCAAAACCATGCAGGATCTTTTGGAGTGTGTGGAGGGGGTGCACACACAGAAGCTAGAAGGTCTAAATAAATTCTTTCCAGACAGTAGCTATCTTTTATACTTTTCCTTTTTTTTTAACTTTTATTTAATGAATATAAATTTCCAAAGTACAGCTTATGGATTACAGTGGCTTTCCCCCCACCCCCAAAACTTCCCTCCCACCCGCAGCCCTCCCCTCTCCTGCTCCCTCTCCCCTTCCATTCACATCAATATTCATTTTCAATTCTCTTTATACACAGAAGATCAGTTTAGTATATATTAAGTAAAGCTTTCAACAGTTTGCACCCACACAAAAACACAAAGTGTAAAATACTGTTTGAGTACTAGTTATAACATTAAATCACAATGTACAGCACATTAAGGACAGAGATCCTACATGAGGAATAAGTGCACAGTGACTCATGTTGTTGACTTAACAATATACTTTTCCTTGCCGGCGCCGCGGCTCACTAGGCTAATCCTCCACCTTGCGGTGCCGGCACACCAGGTTCTAGTCCCGGTCGGGGCGCCGGATTCTGTCCCGGTTGCCCCTCTTCCAGGCCAGCTCTCTGCTGTGGCCAGGGAGTGCAGTGAAGGATGGCCCAAGTCCTTGGGCCCTGCACCTGAATGGGAGACCAGGAGAAGCACCTGGCTCCTGTCATCGGATCAGCGCGGTGCGCCGGTCGTAGCGCGCCGGCCGTGGCAGCCATTGGAGGGTGAATCAACGGCAAAGGAAGACCTTTCTCTCTGTCTCTCTCTCTCACTGTCCACTCTGCCTGTCAAAATATATATATATACTTTTCCTTTTGTTGATATTTTCTGTACTCAGAAGTGATCACGTGCCACTACAGTGTTAAGAAGAAAAAAAAATACACTGAGATAAACCCAGCACCGAAAGAAGTCTAAGGGACTGCATCTGTCCATTTGGCCCCAACACCCACTCAGGTCACCATTATCTCCTCCCTGACCTGCTGCTGCCCCAGCCTCCCACCTGGCCCCTCGTCTCCAGACCACCCCCTGCCCCGCTCTGTTCTGCAAAGCCTGGTCACATCTGTCTTCTGCCTTAATATCTGCTAGTTCCTTCGGCCACGGAACAGCCCAAGCCCTCGTGCAGTAGATAGGTCTCTGTGGACACCCCTTCCCACCTCCAAGCTCCAGATCCCACATCTCACCCCACAGCCCAGACTTTGCCTAGAAAATTCCAGACTCTTCTTGCCTGCCCTCCCTGTGCTTTCAGTAACCAGCCTTGGGTCCTTCAGGTCTCAGCCATCAGCTCTGGCTGCTCCTGTGACAGCGGCAGCCTGGCAATAGCATGGGCAGTGTGAGCTCCCCCCACCCACTGTTGCATCCGGGGGTGGGGCTTGCCCACTGCGATCTCCCCTCACCCAGCACAACCCCTTCACTGGAGAAGGTGCTCAACCAAGTGTTACAGGGGAACTATTAATGAATTTCTAGAATGCACTTGGCTGGATCCGACCCAAATCAAGTCCCTTTACCTCTGCAGATTGCTTTTGTTTTTTAACTCTTCCAGCCCCTGGTGGTCTTGTCCTCCTCTAAATTCTCATGAACCTATTGAAATGCTGCCTACTTGACTCTTTCCCTATACATATTATTTTAAAAAGGTGTGTGAACAAGACAATATAAAGTAAGGGGGCCGGCATAGTGGTGCAGCGCATTAAGCTGCCACCTACGATGCCAGCATCCCATATGGGCACTGGTTAGTATCCTGGCTGCTAATGTTCCTGAGAAAGTAGCAGAAGATGGTGCAGGTGCTTGGGCCCCTTCCACCCTCATTGGGCACCCAGATGGAATCCCAGGCTTCTATCTTCAGCCTGGGCCAGCCTTAGCTGTTGCAGCTGTCTGGAGTTGAACCAGTAAGGTTCTGCTCCTTACCCCGGTTCTCCACTCTCTCTGTATCTCTTCCTTTCAAGTAAATAAATAAATCGTATATATATATATATATATGTGTGTGTGTGTGTGTGTGTGTGTATAAAATAAGGACGTGGTGAAAGGGGAAAAATCAAAGATTCAGCTGAAAACAGGACAAAGTCAGTACATGAAAACATGCATTATAACATCAGAAGTGGACTATGAGGCCTGTGCTGTGGCACAGTGGGTTAACACCCCAGACTGAAGTGCTGGCATCCCATATGGGCACCAATTCCAGTCCTGGCTGCTCTGCTTCCAATCCAGCTCTCTGCTAATGCACTTGGGAAAGCAGTGGAGGATGACCCAAGTCCTTGTGCCCCTGCACCCACTTGGGAGATCTGGAAGAAGCTCCAGGTTCCTGGCTTCAGATAGTCTCAAATCAAAGTGTGGCCATTTGGGGAGTGAACCAGTGGATGGAAGACCTCTCTCTCTCTTCATCTCTACCTCTCTCTGTAACCCTACCTTTCAAATACATAAAATAAATCTTTAAATTAAAAAAAGCGGGATATATATGAGTATGTGATCCTGTTTCCCAGTGGGAAAATGTTTAGTCTCAAGGTGTTCAGATCCCAGAAGCTATAAACAAGGTTATTGGACTGTTGAGAAACACGAAGTTTCCTGAATTTGAGATCCACAAACAATTTATTTTTGGGTCCCAAATAAAAGCATTTCTATGGGCTGAGGCAACAGTGTCCTGAGAACACCCCTCCCCCAGCTGGAATTCCTGTAGTTCCTCCTTAAATGACATCCTCAGAGCACTTGGCCGGCATCACAGCAAGCCGTAATTCTGTAAACTCACCTTCATCCTGCCCTCCAAGGTCAGCCTGGGCAATACTGACTTGTCATGAGCAAGACATGATAATAACGGGATGAAGTCAAAGACCCAGGCAGCAGCTCCTTCCCAAACGAAATCCTACAAGTTGCTGATGGCAACCAGGGCAAATGCCACTGGAGGCAGCACTGTGCCCTGGCTGGAAGATTCCTGGGAGGTGGGGCAGTGTGCTTTTAGATGAGATGGTTCTATTGTGCTTCTTTTCCCTGAAAAAATAAATAAAAGGAAAGGAAAAGGTCCTACTTCATGATGCTGTGCCTGTGTCTGGGCCCTGCCGGTCCTGGTCACCGCACCTGAAGAGCTTCAGGTCATGGTGGCCAAGCAGCCAGGAGGGCACAAAAGCTCTTCTCCTGGAGCCAAGCAGATCAAAGCATGAACCCGAGCACTGCCACTCTGTGACTGGGGCCAGTTATGTCACCACTATGAACTTCAGTCTTCTCTTCTGTGTGGAGACTGTGGCATAGCAGCTAAAGTGGTCGTCTGTGATGCCAGCATTCTATGTGAGTGCTGGTTCAAGCCCTGGCTGCTTCACCTCAGACCCAGCTCCCTGCTAATGGCCTGGGAAAAGCAGCAGAAGCTGGTCCAAATGATTGGGCCCCTGCAACCCACATGAGAGACCCAGATGAAGCTGGATCCTAGCTCCTGGCTTTGGCCTGGCCCAGCACTGACCATTGTGGCCATCCGGGGAGTGAACCAGCAGATGGAAGATCTCTCTCCATCTCTGTGTAACTCTGCTTTTTAAAATAAAAAATAAATCTTTAAGGAAAAATAATAATGGAGACTGATAAAACATCTGGCTTTGCAGGTTGGCTGGGAGACGCTGGGTCTTTCTTTCATGGAAAAACAGGAGATTGCAGTGTGGATCTGATGGAGGAACCCTGGCTCTACTCCTGGCATGGACCCAGGTTGCGCTCTCTGAACTGGCAACCCCCGAATTCTTCAAGCCCCCTGAGCCCCAAGTAGGAGGCAGATATTTCAGACCTGCAGGCTCTCCTGAGCAGATTAGGGGCCTGCCCCCTGCCTACCCCTATTGACAACCCCAGGAATTTTAACTGAAATTCATTAACATTTTTGTCCTACTTCTTGATGATTTGGAGAGCTGGGTGGAATGACATCTCTGAGAAGATGAAGGTGGGGCATCTGGAGAAAGCAAGCCTTGCTCCAACGGACCTGTGCTAAAGGCTAAGCTTGCTCACACCCCAGAGCAACCTCCTACACCTCGCTTTCTGTCGCTATAAAATCAGCATTCTACTTTCCTGGATTTAACAGATGAGGAAACTGAGCATGTCTGCAGGCCGGTCCTCAAGGGTACAGCTGGCTGTAGGCCCTGGACAGCACACATGTGCTCGCTTGTGCTGATAACTGTGAGGTGCATTGCCATAGGTAACTCTCTGCCCA